TTTTTTTTTTTTTTTTTTTTTTTTTTTTTTACCAAATTCAGTCTCTTGACAATATTTGGAAATCGAACTAAAGGTTTTTAACTGTTACATGACCAAATATTCCATTCTCATTGAGTCTTCTTGATACCGTAAATCTGGACACTTTTCTGTCATTTGGTACATGGTCGTTTATTTCATGCTTGAGGTCAGTGGCATTGAGTTTAGGTGTTCTGCCTTTTCCTTTCCTATTTTCAAATTTACCTCTCTCGCTCTCACGATCTAAGGTGTACTTAACAGAGTTTGGGGAGCATTTCAAGTCTGCAGCAATTTGTCGGAAATTCCAACCGGCATCACGTAAAACTTTTATGCGAACTCTCTGCTCTACTGACAATTCTCTACTCTTTTAGGGCCATGACATGACAACAAAACTTAACATATAGTGTTAAATACTGTTTTTATCAAGGTTTATTTGTGGAGTGCTATTAAACTGATTTCTTCTAGCATATATCAGTACCATATGCTAGCTCCTTGCAAGCTTCTTTCTATGTAGTTAAGACACTATATGGGGTACCATGACAGTTACTTGAAGCCCTAAATTTGATCAGTATGTTCATTCAAGCATAACTCTTATGATATTCCCTTGGTACAAGTATATGAGAATTACAAATAATGATAAGTATTCTCATTCCGGCTCATTCAGTTGTCAACAGGGATCAGTGAAACATTACCATAGTGTTGAAATTTACATTCTGTAATTACATGGAAGAATTAGCCAAAATAAAATGGAAAGAATGACAAAACATTCTCTTGTCCTAACACTTTTACACAGTACTGTAAGTAGCCATATCTTTCCAATAATAACTATTACCTACAAATAAATGTTGAATTACTGTGAGTTGTATGAATTCAGGTTTGAGTAAAAACACTTAAACTGAATAGTGCTATACATCTTACAGTGGCTATTAACCATAAGCTTGTAAGGTTGACTCGGTACTTACTGGCTACTTATGTAGGGATTTTTGTATGGTTCTGTGTATTCATCCCTACCTTGTTTCTGTACATTTTGACACTGCTACCCCTTCATACTACCAAATGAAAACAACTGTGAATAAAACTGCTAAGAAATGTATGTTCTCATAATTAGTATTCTTAGTTTCTTTATTAAGAGGATCGCTAAGGGTTGCTCTCTATGTCGAAGACTCACATAAGCCTTTTTCTACTTATATTCTAGTAGGCTATTTGACTAATTTTATAAAGAAATAATTTGGTTTTTCTTAATCAATGTTAATTTGGCAGTGTAATCCCATTAACTTAAGAAGCCGAGTAGTCTTGATCCCATTTGGAATAGGGATACAGTTAGTTTACTTACGAAGAATGTTTAGTTTGAGAGATTAGCTATGATCCATCCAGTTATTGTGGGTAAAGTACAGCCGAAAAATTCTCACAAACAAAATACTGTTCTGATACTTAGATTTGATTTTCGGTGACGAATTCGATCTCGCGGCCTGTAGGTTGCTTGTCAAGTGCCGTAACCACCAAGCTATGACAGGCTCCTGTGACTCAGTGATAAGTCTGAGAGCTTATAACGCTAAAATTGGGTTTCGATACCAGCAGTGAGTAGAGCACAGATAGCCTATTGTGTAGCTTTGCGTTTAACAACAAACAAACAATTAATTTTCTCCAAGCATTAATGTATTTTGTTCAGAAATCAGTACTGTACCCGTTATGAATGTTTTAAAGTTAAAGATTTACATAAAAATGACGTGCATTTAATAATAATTTCAGGTGAAACATTTCCTCCTATTTGGAATGAATAATATAAAAGAACAACACTATGAAGAAAGAAGGAGTATCAAAATGTCAAAACATTTCTTAAACACTTTTTCTTTTCTATTTAAATGTGTTATGATCAACATTTCGTTATTTCTGATGAAAGTGGAATTATTCTGATTCGAAATATGAATACCTATTTCTCAAAGTCAACAAACTTTTTTTCGCTTTATCTCTGAAGTTTGACTATAGCAATTCAAACAAGACAAAACACTACAATACAGTCTTAATGTATTAACAGACATAAGGAAAATTTTATACCTTCATATTATAATAAATTCAATACATTTTAGTTATTACTTATAGAATCGATATAGCTATTATCCTTTCCGTAATATAATAATGAAAAGTAATATTATTTGTGTAATGATGAAATGTAATATTAATTAATGGCATTTTCCCAACTTCACAATAATTTATCATCATTTCTTATAAGGTTTTCGTTTGAGTTGAATTTAGGCATGAGATTAATACAACTTAGAGGATCGTGTCCTAAGAATTGCTCAACGTTTTACCCAAGGTATCACGATTATACGTTTAGCCTCCGAGTTATCACTCTGATAATTCAAACTGCACTTAAACCGATAGTAAAAATTATACCGAATTTATTTTATACTCTTAAAACATGGAAGAGCATTTTCTTTTAGATAAAAGAGGAAAAAATTACCGAAGAGACGAGACAGATGTAATTCAGCGTATTAGATCAAACAAAGTTAACAAACACTTTTAGCTTTTTGACCTTATGATTGCATCAAATTTTTCATCAGTTAAACTAAGCTATAGATTAAGGATTTTTCTTACAATTGTTTACATCTTTATAAATTTGCTTCAGAATTGTCTTCGTGGATATTTGTACTTTCTTGTGTGGTGCGCATATTTTCATTTCCAGCCACTCACTAAGGGTTAATAAACCTTCATAAAGCGATTTCAATGAGCTAATAAAATGGCGTGTCGATAAGGTGTGCCCCATGACGTCACGGATAGATTTATGACTGGTGGGCTTTATCACATTTTTTCTTAGGAAGGATATTTATAAAACGAGATTTTAAAAAGATATAAGACCAAAGAACGCATTTTGCTAAAGGGAACCTTATATTTTCTGCAAGGAATCGGAAAAATT